AGCTGAGAATATGGGTTTGCGCATGGTATACAGCTACTAAATTACTTTCTTGCAGCTTATTGTCCATTATAGTTGTTGAAATGGATGGTCCTAGTCCATGATTGATGTAATCTGCCTTTTGGTATTCACAACCCTTGCTAACTCCCATCAACTCCTGTCTCAGAGTAGGTCTTTTCTTTCACAATTTTTCTTGCTTGGATATTAATGTTCAGCCTTTTGCATGCTGCATAGACTTATGGGATGATCCCCCCTCAATATTGCAATCACTTCCTTTGTTTTCTCTGAGGTATCACCTAATCGGCTCAAATAATAATATATCCTTCGAAGTAGGACAAATCCTTAACTTTCTCCATCTTAATAAAGACGGAGACATACAGAACACTGCTAACTCTATGCATACTGTACAGTAGTCAACTGTGACGTGCTCTATTGCCTGTTTACCAATCAAATATTGGAAGAGTTCATAAAATCTTTAAATAATAGACTTTCTAATTTCTTGGCTGGATTGTGTATATACCAATCACGTCTTTTTTATTATAGTGTAATAACCTAGTGTTTTCTATAAGATTTGTTTACATACTAGCGATGCTTGTTTATACAGTCAATTTTTTTTTTTAATTTTGTGTTGGAAGTATTCCAGAGTAAGAGGCCCAGAAAACGTTTCGAGTTTCAATGTCTTATTTCAGATTATAGCAAATTAAGAATATTTTATGAATTATTTTGCTATTTCTAGAAGTTTCAAGTTTCAGTAACAAAAAGTTTACCTTGGCTTTTATCACGTATTTACTAGAAGGTTTGTGCTTGATTATCCTTCATGAAAGTGTTTAAGTTTTTGTTTCGTTTATCATTTTCTAGTTGAATGAATCTTATCACACTCACCAGTATCTTCTCCAGTTTGGGAGGCACTATAACATATGACCTCTGCCTAATATTCTACTATATGGCCATTCATCAGTTCCTTATCTTAGTTTATACACTACGTCTTTATATTCTTAATGTATTCATTTCACATTGTTTAACGTTTTGCTTCGTATTGTAAATGCTAGTAATTTTTTTATTTTCAGTTACAGCCTCTTTCATATGGCTTATAAGGTTATATAACCTTATAGTAGGCTTAAGTTAACACTATATTACAGTCCTAAGTGCATTATCACTATAGAGTCTGTTTAATAATATATCTTTTTTTTTGCATTTCTTACTTCTTCCATTATAGTTTTCATCAGATCTCATGCCTAGTGACTAGTGTGATCCTGATATTCCATGACGCATGTCCCGTTCCCGAAAGAACGTGCTCCTCACTTTGGGACCATTGGTACTTTACCAAAGTGACGGGCAAGTCCCACTATTCGATTAGAGTAGCTTTAGAGTTGGGGTGTATTTTGTAGACTAGTGATATTCCTTCTAGTATATCAGTTGAAAATTAGTGACAGCTAGAGCAGATAACTCTTTCCGGAACGAACAATCCATTAGATAATTTCATTTTACAAGATAAATCAGCTAATAATTCTTGCTTCACGCTCGTCAACATTAACAGTTTCATGGGTTTTACAACGTTAATATTTCAGGTAATCGTCCTCCGTTATATTGTACGATTATCTATAGTGTATTTCAGTTTAACATAAAAGTATTAACTTTATTACTTTATATTTCTACATAGTTATTTTGTCTCTCTTGGTTCTTTAGGTTAACATCAGTACGCAATAAGCTATTTTATAACTTTATGAATACATATGAATTTAATGCCTTCATTCATTATCCTACATAATATTGTTTTCATTTTTGACGCCCCCCTCCCAGACCGAGCAGATAATCCTTGCGAATCTTTGTGGAATATTCTAAATCCAACTTTAAGATTGAAGAAATAAGTTTGTCCTACTGTTAACATCAATTGGGCCTCCCAGTGGCACAGCGGTATGTCTGTGGACTTACAACACTAGAATCCGGGTTTCGATACCCATGGTGGGCAGAGCACAGATAGCCCATTGTGTAGCTTTGTGCTTAATTACAAACAAAATATTTTTGACATTGTATTGCAGTTTCGGAAATATAAGTTTCAACCTAAAGGACGTTATTTTGCACCTAATATAACACCAAGTATTGTTTTTTTACTTTAGGTAATTGTTTCCCGCTCAGATGTATATTGAAAGTGTGTATAACACCTGGAGTTTATTCATCCAGTTGCAACTCGTCATACACCACTTGTATTAATTCAATAAAGCCTCTACTTGATGTATTGAGAGCGAACACTTGCTACCCGTTACATTGGAAGCGAACACTTTAGAATTTAAACGCCAATCGACACCACTGCTGCAGATGAGCAACCTCAAACTTCAAGCTTTCGTTTTTAAAACTGACCAAACAAACTGAAATTATTTTAGGTAAGAAAATAATTACGACTCTCATATTGTGGTTGAAGTGGTTATATCGAAGAAAATTTAACTTTTATTTACTTTGACATCTTCTCATAGTCTACGTTGATAAAAGAACGTTCTAGAATTTCGTAGGGATTCATACTAATCACAGACAGACATATGTTAGTGGCTTAAAAAATATATTTTCACTTCCATATCATACGTGTATAAAAAAAAAGTCTCCTGCACTGTTTGTGTTCAGTGTTCTCGAATGAAAAATTGTTTTTTGTTCCAGAATTGACGATGACCTTCAGATAAAGCATTTTCAGAAATCGCGTACTACGAAAATTTTGCATCTTTCTTAACAAAAACAACGACATTTCCTTGTGAAACTAGTGTTAACTGTTTTTATTCTCTTATAAAAATGAGTTAAAGCTTTACGAAGTTTTGTTGTTATTCTGAAGTATGTTTTATGCCAGGAAAAGGTGTTTAATTGTGTTAAGATTTACTAAGGAACTTGGTTGTAATATACACCAATAATGTCTCTACAAAAGGTAGTTAGTTTATAATAACAAATTCTAAAATTATAATACAGTATAAGTTTCTTAGATAGTACAAAACTTATAGAAGTTACTATTTCTGTGTATATTAAAGCTGTATGTACACTTGAAGCTTGATACAATTTAAATTACGTATAACTTGTACGTCACGAAGGTGTAGCATTCCTTACACTCCTGGTGGCTCAGCGATAAGTTTGAGGACTTATAACGCTAAGAATCTGGTTTCGAAACCAGCAGTGAGAAGAGCACAGATAGGCCATTGTGTAACTTTGTGTTTAAAAACAAATATTTAGTTTTCAACTTTTGAAGTAAAACCTTATCAAGTCTTTTATGTTTTACAAAATTATATTGCACGTAATATGCCCCCCCCCCCAGTGGCACAGCGGTACGTCTGCGGACTTACGACCCTAGAAACCGGGTTTCGATACCCGTGGTGGGCAGAGCACAGATAGCCCATTGCGTAGCTTTGTGCTTATCTTCAAACAAACAAAGAGCATGTAATATAGCCTGAGCTGATATTAT